CCCCCTCCCCCCCCCCATTAAAATTATCACAATCAAAATCAACTAAATGCTTTTACCCAAAATTAAGTGTCAAATTTGAGAGATTAATGCAATTTGCTAAAGCAAAACCTAAGCTTGATGTACCCATTGCACCAATTTTATTTTCACTTTTTAATATTGAAGAAAAAATAATTAATTAATTAGTTAATTAGAACAAAAAAGTGAAGAAAAAATAGAAATAATTAGATTTATTAATAAATAATAAAAGCAAAAGTTAAAAATTAAATGATGAGTTAAATTAACAAAAAAAGAACAAAAAAGCAAGCACAATAAAAGAAAAAGAAAAAAGAACATTATTGTTTTAAATTAGTCTTTATAATTAAAAATATCACAATCCAAAACAAATAAATTTTTTTACCTAACATTAAGTGATAAATTTGAGAGATTAATGCAATTTGCTAAACCAGAAACTAAGCCTGATGTACCTTCATCACCAATTTAATTCCATCTTTTTAAATATTGAAGAAAAAGCAAATAAATAAATAGTTATTTAGAAGGAAAAACTAAGGAAAAAATATGAAATAATAAGATTTATTAATTAATATTAAATGTAATTATTGAAAATAAAATGATGAGTTGTTAAATTAACAAAGAAAGAAAGAAAGAAAGAAAGAAAGAAAGAAAGAAAGAAAGAAAGAAAGAAAGAAAGAAAGAAAGAAAGAAAGAAAGAAAGAAAGAAAGAAAAAAACACAATAAAAAGAAAGTATGGCTTTATTGTTTTAAATTAGTTTTTATAATTAAAAATATCACTATCCAAAACAAATAAATGTTTTTACCTAATATTAAGTGTCAAATTCGAGAGATTAATACGATTTGCTAAAGCAGAACCTATGCCTGATGCTCCAATTGCACCAATTTTATTGCTACTTTTTAAATATTGATGAAAAAATATATAATTAAATAGTTAATTAAAAGGAAAAGGTGATGAAAAAATATAAAATAATAAGATTAATTAATTAATAATAAAACAAAAATTTTAAAATAAAATGATGAGTAA